AGTGGAAATGAATTGAAGTAAAGCCACCCTAATATTTCTATTAATTAAACTCCCAACCCAGTGTATGGTGCCCCTCTCATGGATACTTCACTTTGGGACTGTGGTTTGCATCTTAAAGGTCAGGTATTCCAAATAGAGGATGAACCTTCATTCTGCATCAATAATTTCAAACTTCTTACTGTCCAACAGGCAATAGTGCAAGGTCTAGATCTCTTGCAGGGGAATATCCTGATGAGACATTTCCTCAATTCTAGTGGTCTCTTAAATTTGGTTCTTTCTCTATGGGGCCTAGTCCAATCATATCAGCCTCCTGGCTTGCCATTTTTCTGGGGTGATGGATTTCATAGCAGATTTTCAGTCTCAGTCCTCACTTTCTCCAAACCAAATGGATTCTCCACTGTGCAGTTTTCCAATAGATTTGTTCTCAGTTTGGACCTCCCATGATAACTTTTGCCACTCATTGTTACTCAGCTACAAGTTTTGGAGTCTCTGCTTCCTCAGGCTTGGATTGTAGATGCATTCAGTCTTGCTTGGATGGGATTGCTCATCTGTGACTTTCCCTCACTTTTTCTGTTACTCAGAGTTCTGACTATATTTCGATCCTCTGCTTTTGAGATGTTGCTAGCCTAAATTGGCTTGTTTACAGTTTCTTCATGTGAGTCCACCTCTGCCTCTTCCTCTTTGACTATCTTTATTGAGACATTTACTCAACCCCACATTCTACGCTGAAACTATTCCCAGCTCATTGGGGTTTAACATCTACAGTTGCCTGGGGTGTGTCTCACAAGGAATTTGTACCCACTTTACCAAACGTGTTCACCATATCTTGTTTTGACCTGTTTTTTACTCTGGTTTAGCTTTGTCTCCTCTCATTTAGGTCAGGCATCGTTTTCATCTCCCTTTAGTTATCCTGGACATCTAAAGGTTTTGGACTCTCCAGTGCTATCCAGCCTTCTTCCCAAATTGCCTCTTCCATTACTTACTTAAGATATTAAGATGGTACTACATGCCTTTTCTCAACAACTATTTGAGCCTTTAGTCTCATGTACAATGTATCACCTCTCCCTTAATGGGTATTTTGTTGTTGATGACATACTGATGTCATCTGTTGGAGTTGTTGGCATGTTTGTAGGACTCTTTATCTCTTACTTTAGGACCTTCTATACTCTGATAGGTCCTTTCTTTCTAAGTCTCTCTCCACAATTCTTTTGCCAACTATTTTTCATGTCTACAATCAAACATATGTTGATCATTTGTTTTGTCCTGTCAGGCCCAGAGGTGCTATGTGGCTTACTCTAACTCCTTTCATGGTGATAGTTCTTGTCTCTGTATTCTTTGGAATACTTTGGTTTCAAAGATTTATCCCTACTTTTGCAAATATCCAGGTTGCATATTCTGGATTTTATAGGCA